GTCGCACAACTCGATCGTTACCCCCCCCCAGCTCGCTTTCGTCCCAATTCGAATCGACAAACTCAGCCCTTCACGCAGTCATACGTGATCCCTAGCAACTCCGTGCGGTGCCCCCTCCTTCTTCCACCAGCAGAACAAACAGAACTCGAACGAATCTTCCACAAAATGTAGGAAGATACATTGTCCATCCCAAATTAGCCCTTCCCGAGCGCGGCCCATGCCTGCTACAACACCGAATTTACATCCCTTCCACGAGGCCTAAGCCCATCATTGAGATCGCAGTGCCCAGAATCCCCTATCGAGAGTCCTTACTCATCACGAATGGTCGGGGACAACCTGGTGGCCAACTTTTATCTCTTTCGTTTCTTCTTCCGTCGTCGTCTCCGACCACCGCGCGATCTTTTTCTCTACCAGCACTAAATATACTATCCCACTACCAAGTCTAACCCCTCCATTGGATTCGCAACCATCGAGAACCCCCAAAACGCATCTTTCCCCGCCCAAAACAGCCAAGAACTGAGCGAGTCCCTACTCCCTGCTACGCCCAGCCCGGCTCTCCGCCATCTCCAGTCTCCTACGCCTGCATGCACCCGGCTCTACCCCACGCCCCCGTTCATTCGCCAACCCACTTCGTCCTTCCACAGCGCTGCGCTCGCCAGTGTGCCAAGACATACCGCGTCAACAAGACGAGGCGCTTCGAAAAAGGAAGTCAACAGCCGCGGGGCACAGACCGCACACCACTTATAGTTGCCACCACGCTCGCGGCCCGCCGATCTTTCCTGCCTCACTCCAATTCGGCGGATGCCCTGACGGACCCTCACGTGACGTCAGCCTGGGGAGAAATCTCCGCGGCCCCCCCCTTTTTTTTTTGCCCTTTTCTTACCCGTGCCTGGCCACGCCTTGCGGTCGGATCCATAGTGGGTGCATCCTCCCCCTTTGCCAACACCCCAGGTAGCCGCCGGGCGCATCCGGCCGTAGGATATCCCAGTCCGGCCTCCGCCCCTTCCCTATCGCTGCGTCCCGGTCCACTCTGAACCCTTACGCATTCCCCTGCCCGGGTGTCGTACGAATCTTTCCCCGTATTCTTAGAATTCGTACGTGCCATCGTTGCGCGGGGGTCATGCTAATATTCTCTGTATCATTCCAATTTTAACAAATGTCCCGAAGGACTCCCAGTTCTTCCGCCTACCCTTGCCCCAGTTCTTCGCCCAGGTTCGTCCCCGACCCCCACCATCTCCTCCGCACCTTCCCCTTTTCGTACTCCATAGATCTTTCCTATAAAGATCCGATTCTCTTGGGGTACCGGAGAGCTTTGCCGCGTCAGCACTTCCGGGCCTTCACGAGTCCTCCCTCCACCCCTCTCTATGGCTTTCCTCAGATTCATACAACCGCGCCCACCTCACGTCATTACTTGACCATAGGCCCCGGGGGCAACCCTACGAACCCAGACAATCCTCCTTTTACCCGCACCCGGCCCGTTTTACGGCCTGGTTCATTCCCTGTTTATGGG